TCGTATAAATGGAATTGAATAGTTCGGAGATAGTATTAAATTTTGCAGTATATAGGGTTCTACAACAGTGGCGTGGTCTTTCATATAATATCATGTTCCATACTACTCAAAACGATAAAGGATCGACTGGAATATTTTGCTATAACAATCTGTATCTGAAACGTATGGAGAGTGAATTACTCCAGGGTACTTAGGCCTCAGTAGGCTCATTGCGTATTCTTCAAAGATGATAGGCACCTCCTAGCTCGTAATCCAGCATACAGATTTAATGTAGTGGACAACGTCGCCAAGAGGTGCTTCTCTTATATCGAATGGTATAAGCCAATATTTGCCGAACACATATCTTCTAATGAACGAGAGCGCCAGCAGGCAATCGTAGATGATATGGTCGATAGTCAAATATGTGTTTGCTGTAGTATTGTCAGAATAACTTAAAAGCTCTCTGGCGACTATGAAATTTCTTGTTTTATGTTTCCTTGAATTTCACAGGAAAATGTTCTTTAATTAGGTCTCTTACTACCGATGTTATCTTTGATTTAAGATTGAATCTAAATACTCAAATTAGAGGCTAGGACTCCATTACATAAGCCCTGGTGGTCTAGTAGTTAGGACATTGGAACGGAAATCCAAAGGTCGCAGTTTGAGCCCCGTTCAAACCTGAATTTTTCATTCCTTTGGTTTGTTATCTCTAGTATTACGAAATAACTTTAGATAAAAGTCTTCACCTTTAGGGTTCGCTCATAAAATTGACCCTAAGTGCGGTGTTTCGTTATAATCATATCCTAAAACTTAAACGACCCCAGTAAAAAACCACAGACCGCCTCTGCTTTTGCCTCTAATTCCATATCTGATTTTTACCGGAACAAAAACCCTTCTTTCCCGGATTCGACCGCGTTTTTACTCAAACAGATCCCTTTAAATGGCCGCAAAAATATTAAAAATGAAATACGTTCGACCTGCAGCTTTTTCTCGCCTCGGTACGCCATGGGAAAATTAAAATGGCCTCTCATTTGCTCACAATAAATCGTGTCGTCGCAAAAAACCTTCGAATATTTTCAAGCCGAGTAATTATGATGAACGCGGAGATGTTAAGATTTCTCTGGAAATTATATTCTGATAAAATATTATGCGGAGGGTCTCAGTGAAGCCGTGGGAAGATGATAATATGGTGATATTGTTGTTTTAACTAAAAGCCGAGGAATGATCGATCATTATTCGCGACTGAAAGAGATATGCAAGGTATTTAAAAAAGGAGTTAAATGGGTAAATATAGTTCATTTCATAGCCTGTCATACGGCATCTATCTCGCTTTATCGCAATAAGTTGAAAGAAATGCAAAAAACGGTACGTCCACTATACATTTTCGTGACGCAACAAAATCATGAAAAATCTACACGTAGATATTAAATAACTAAAACTGACACAATACAGGCATTTCATTGGCTGCCGTTTGCTATACGTCATGACATGAAATCTTGAACACGCTCTTTAACTATTTTTGATAAACGTCAAAGTGTACGTCTGACAGTTTTTATCAGATCAGTACTTCCATTAGTTCCATTTGTAATTATTGTGATTAATCACATTTTTTAGAAGTTGGAATATTATTTTTTCAAAAGGAAAGACTTGTATTTCGTGCAAAACTTTTTAATTAATAAATGCAAAGCGCTTTCGGCATTTTGCCATCATCAGTGCTTATTGTCCACAAACATATCCAACAAGTTATACATGTTATATTATTTACGATAATAAATATCAATTAAAAATAAATTTTGTTTTATTTTGTAATGCTTTGATATCACAATTATTATTAATTTCAAAGCTTTTTCCTATTTGGCTGAATACGATCCTGACAACTGTCAAAATTTTGTAGAGTCGCCATCAAATTTCATGTAGTAATCAAAGACTTTCCGAAAACATTATATTACGTTGTATTTGGTGACGTGCAACTGAATGGCTATGCAATGAACTATACCATCAGATTTAAATATATTACATAGAATCTATTATTTGTTGATCATTTGGACGATCAGTGAGTTGCCATCATGGAGGTATAATACTAATGGAGATGCCTTGAGGCAATTGTTTTGCATATGATACGTTTTATTAAAAATGACCCCACTGGGCGTGGCTTAAATGGTTGACTAAGCAGGGCCGTATGACTTTATGGTTAAAAGTAGATGGAAGGAAACCATGATCAAAACCAATCGGAACTAAAAAGACTCAGATAATAGTTGTTGGTTTTATTTATGTTTGAAATAATTAATTATATAGGGTAGGTACATATATTACTAAAATTGCAAGCAAGTACTTACTAAAGATTTCTATAATTGGTACCTATGTATAATAAACAACAATCTCACAGATGCACAGCATACAACCATACAAATGGAATTATAGAGATAATTTATTTTAAAAATAGGCATTCAGTTGCGATTTGTGATTACAAAAAGAAAACTTTAACCACTTTTTCTGATCAGTAATGCTAGTGTTATAGTGAAAAAGTTTCTAGAAACTGGTGTTTTTAATCCTAATAAGGCATTGTGAATTTCCAAGAGAAGTGCATGATGAAAATTGTTTTGACCAAAATTTTGAATGTCATGCCATTTAAAAAGAAACCCTGTGGCTGTGGATAACATTTGACACAAAATCTTATCCTAAAAATAACTGTTTGGTTGTATTGGAGAAATAATTTCTTCATTGGTACTTTTTTAGGGTGTAAGGATGACTTGACATTACTAAATTTAAACCTTTGTTATAAGTTGTCTTTTTGCTTTAATTTCTGATACACCTGTATTGTACATACTTGAAAAATATAAAATTGTTCAAGTGGGAAGTTTATATACAAGGTGTCTCATTGAGGAAGGGATACAGAACAACTGAAGAGTCTGATTAAAAATAAGACTTTGCTTAGAATGCGAATATTCTTCATTTTAATTTTGAAGTTTCTTATAAGTTCCCAACAAAAGTACCTATATGATTTACTTAAAAAACATCAAAAAATATATAATTATAGTTCAAATAAGTGTAACGTATCTTATGACACCAAAAACTTTTGCCAAATTTGGTAAAATTATAGATAACTCTTTAGTTTTTCTGTGTCCCATTCTTAATAAGACACTACAAAAAAAAATTTATTATTTAAAAAAATATTTATTGACCTTTAAACAACACTATTTTGTTGTTTTGATGTCTTATGCTAGCAGCTTTATTAACTCTAGTTTTAGTGAGATATGTTAGTCGGAAACTAACATATTTATCAACTATACACTTAATTAATAATATTCTATGATTATCCAACACAAACTGGTCCAAACTGTGCTGCATAATATTCGAAAAGACATTAGAATTTATGAATTCTTTTAAAACAAATGTGCTGATGATATTAACTGATATTTTTTTCATAGAATCTTTCATAATTTTTAATATTTTTTCACATTTTAAACAAATGTTTATTACATCTTCCGATGGATATTGCAAACCATTTATATTCATTATCAAAACGGTATAATAAGAGGAAATTAATAAAAACTACTTGAAATTTTATTCTAAATTATGTGTTACTTAAAAAGTTAGTCATTTAAGTGTAATTATAAGTTGGTTTTTAAGTTTAATTATAAGTTGGTTTTTAAGTTTAATTATAGTTGGTTTTTAAGTTTAATTATAAAGTTATTTATTTAAGTTTTATTATAGTTATCTAAGTTTTAATATAGTTATTTGTCTTTATTATAAAGTTAGTCAAGCCAATGTTCTTTATTAAGTTAGTTATTTAAGTTTTATTGTAAATAAAGTGTATACTAACTAAACATTCATTTATTGTCGGAACAGCATTCTTCTTCAATCTGACCCTAAACTCACTGTTATCAAAAAATTCTTTTTTTGGAAACCTATAATAAAAAAAAGTTAAGCATTCTAAAAAAAAATCTAAGTACACTCCTTATACTTACTTATGAAAACTTAAATTAGATATTTTCTTACGTTCTTTCACTGAAGAGTTTTTACAATTAATTTTGGCACACTTAGTCATGATTTTTATACAAATTAATAAAAAAAAACACTTATTAAGATAGAAATAACGTCGAAGTATTTAAATTTGAACAAAGTTCTGACAGCTCTTTGACAACTATGACATGACCACTAAGAGAGGGGGAAGGGGTGTCTTTTTTTTGGCATGTCATATCCATAGTATTCAACCTCATTGGTTGCCATGTATCATTTTTTTGTCATGCATCCACTCACTAGAATCAGGTCCAGATATGGCATAGGAATTTCTGAAGTCAAGGCTATTTATTCACCTAAATTTGATTACTTTGACATATTATATAATTTTCTAGGTCTTCCCCTAGATCCTGACCTATCCAGTCTTGGTCTACCTCATCCCTTTTTAGATTTTGTATTCTGATTTGTCTTTTTCTCTTTACTCTCATTTTCTGATAGATTTTCAAACATCTGTACATATCTTTATGATGAAATTTTCTACATTTTCTTTATTTTCTTCCTCTAAATGTACTACTTCTACGGTTTTAGTAACATTTTCAATTTAATTTGAAATAAAATCTTTTCAAATTAATCAAAATAGTGCATTCACTTGTCAAGGTATTTAAAAAAATATATTATTTTATTTGACATGTGTGACAAACTGTGAAAATGATTAAATTTACAATAAAAACCGAAAAAGGGTAAGTAAAGTTTCATATAATATTTTTTACATAAAAATCAGTGTCAAGCTTTGTACATAATCTGATATATATTCAAAAATAATCTCAAAATATGAAAAAAAATCGGCTGTCTATAACTAATAATATTTATAAATGGTTTTTAACGTATTAAAAACAAAACAAATATTACAATAACTAGGTAGTGCTTGCAAACAGTGTGATATTGATAATAATAACACCCTTTTTAAATTACAATGATCCGCCACTGTGTGAGAGGTATAAAAAGTTATAAAACACCTATTACTAACATTTATTAAAAAAAAAAATGAAATAGAGACACACCTATATAATTTTATTAGCACGAAATTCATGTTCAGTTGAAAAAATAAATTAAACACATTTTTCAATATAATATATAATATTTAATTAAGAAATGTTCACATTTGCAGAAGGTAATGTAGTCAACGTGGTTTTCACCGAAGTTGTTAGAGAAATTTTGCGAATTCTCTCCATTGCGTTCGATTTCTTCAGCTTGTCGTAATTTTTTCTTTTGCACACGAAAATAAGGAATATAAAAAGACCTGAAATTATACAATACAATTGAATTTCCGCAAATATAGTAATATTAATATTAATATTAAAAATTTAAATTACAAATACATATTTGGAATATTAAAGATACAGCATATGCCAATAAAAAGTAATATGTTTAGTAATGAGATGTTCAGTAAAAAGATTTCTATGCAATAATAAGATGTTTAGTAATAAAATAAATAGTAATAATATGTTCAATAATAAGATGTTAAATGAAGATGTTTAGTATTAAAATGATTGGTAAAAAGATGTAGTAATGAGATAAATAGTAATAATAGGTTTAGTAATAAGATGTTCAATAATAAGATGTTAAATAATAAGATGTTAAATAATAAGATGTTAAATAATAAGATGTTAAATAATAAGATGTTAAATAATAAGATGTTTAGTATTAAAATGTTTGGTGAAATGATGTTTATTAATAAGATAAATAGTAATAATATGTTCAGTAATAAGATGTTCAGTAATAAGGTTGAAAATAGAAAATGATCCTATATATTAAAAAATAAAAAAAGTTGTCATAGTTTTTTTTTTAAAGGATATATGTTAATTTTTGAAAGATTGTAAGGAGTTTTCAGAAAAATAGATTGACAAAAGCTGAAAATATTCGTTTCTTTTGAACCAGTTCTTAGTAAATTCTTCTCCATTTACAACAGTGTTCATTAAGCTTATAAGATGATCAGCATTAAGATGTTCATTATTAAGATGTTCAGTATTAAGATGTTCAAAAATATGTTTACTAATAGGATGTTGAGTAATATGATGTCCAGTAATAATATCTAAATTAATAGAATGTTATTTAATAAGATATTAGTTAATAGGAAGTTAATTTATAAGATGTTCAGTAATAAAAATTTTAATAATAATATATTCAATATTAAGATGTTTAGTAACGAGATGTTTGGTAACAAGAAAGAAACTTCTAAAATAATCTTTGTACAATAAACAATGGTCTTAAAAAATCTTGTATATGCAATGAATCTGTTTATAAGACTTTTGCAATCTGTTTTTTACAACACAAAGTGTTGCTATCCCCTCTCCTAAAATTATCATATCGACGCCCATGACAATAAGTCATTCAATATAAATTGACGCTACACAGTATTTTCCAATTATTTCAATCTTATCTTTGATCTCTAAAATATAAACTTTAAATCCCAATATACACTCCTAAAATACAAACGGACGGTCTTATTTAGCATTATTACAAAAGTTACAGTTAGAATTCTCTTTTTGTTGCGGCTTGAGCAAAATAATACGAACTTTATACAGTTGAAACAGCATTATTATTTTTTCAGTTTTTTTTAAAGCTTTGTACTCGTTTTTAATGACAGGCTTAACAAGGCGTTAGAACTCCTACACAAGGTTGGCTAGAGAGCTAAAAAACCGTTCTGTCTACGAGCGGTGGTGCGAAATTGAACGCAAAAATCATGAGTGACCTTACATGTTGTTTGAGTTTCTGCTTTGAACAATTTTTAAATGATGGTGACTCATTTTGCGGCAAAAATGTAATTCTATTATGATTTTCAGAACTCAACTTACCGGAAATTTAAAAGTAAGTTTATTCCGTAATATTTACTCCTCGTACAAATATTATATCTAGCCAAGTTAGGTAATTACTTTGAATCAGCGATAAACTTGTCAATACTAAGAAGATCTACTGGGAAAGCTAATAAACCAATTAGGTAATAATTCAATTAAAAAATCAGTGTCGTAGCGTAAGACAGGTATATGGTTAGTTGTAGTAGTTTATTTCTATGTTAAACTAAAGTGTTGCTAGTGTATAATAACTTTTTTTATTAACACTGCACGGTTGACTGAGATAGACATTATGTTATATTTATTAACTTGAAAATAAATGTTTATTAAGGTACGTAAATAACGGATAATTAAGGATGCTACAGCACTTCTGATTTTTGATATTATGATATAAATTTGAATTTTTGTTAATCCTTTCGTGGCTTATTAGGGTTAAATATTTATCGTGTGGCACTGACCCCGCATAATAATCTCTTGAGTTAAGTGTGTTTATTATATTTAAAAAGAAGAATAAATATTTTATAATACAAAATCAAATAAATATACAATGAGAAAATATTCTTAAAATATGCACCTAGATGCAAAAACATCTGTATGTACAATAGAAATAGAATAAAACTACATAAAATTAACAATACCTATAAACTAAACATTTGATGATAGAAAGGACATAACAAATTTGAGAGGTATAAATATTTATCAAATATAAATTTTCTGATCGCTTTAGAAAAGATTTTTATGTTTTTTATTTGTCTGATATTTTCATTTAAAGAGTTGTATACTTTTGGCCCAATTGAAGAATTCAATCTTTTATTTCCATCATATTTAAAGAATGGTACATGTAGCATTCTTCTCTTTTGTTTTCGGGTCATATAAGAATAGTTTACAAAATTTTTATGTTTCAGTTTGAAATAGAACATACAGCTAGAGTGAAAGTTTGGAGTGGATTCGTTGTATAAGAGGGTTGTTAAAAACAAACGACTTTTATGATTTATTATCTTTAAGATATAATTTTGAATGATACTTAAAGGATGTAGGGCATTGTCATATAAACCACCCCATACATTTATGTCATATCTAATTAAGGATTCAATGAGAGCAATATATATCAAGTGTAACAACTTTTTATTTAGAATGTTACGAATTAAATAAAATTTATATATAAGTTTTCTTATTTTGTTTATTAAGTACTGAACATGATCAGTCTATTTCCACAAGGGTGGAACATCATTTTTATGGCACCAATCCAATATTATAAATACCCTTTTTACAAAAATATTAAATAGGTACCCAACCCCCCAACTTTTTTTAAAGGGGTCGTAATTTTTTTTTCTCCTTTGAATATTGGGCCTTCAAATCTACAGCACTGGCAAAAATTTCAAAGAAAAATTCGGAACAGCAAACTTTTTACAAAAAAAAATCGTTTTTTTGAATGTTAGTTTAACACCCTGTAACTTTGTTAGGAGCCAATTTTTGATATAGGTAAATATAGCCAAATCCACTTATTTTTTGGTAATCTATCTGTGGAAGAATTTATGACATACCCTTTTGAAACACCCTGTATATCGGTGACCATTTCTCAACATTCTAGATGTAATTCCGTCAATCCCAGGAGCACTCTTATTTTTTAACGAATTTATATGTTCTATTAATTCATTTTTATTGACAGTATTTAATGCCATTGAGTTGATTAGAGGTAGATATCTTATTAGGAAGTCATCTACAGAATTGATTTTAGTTGCCATATCTATAACAATTTTTGAAAAATTATTGCAGTAGTTGACCATTTCTTTGTCATTTGTAAATTGTTTATTATTATTTAGAATATTAAAATCATTGTTTGTTTTATTGTTCATTTGAAGCTTCTTTAACTATTTTGAATATTTTTATAATATCATTGTTACTATTTTGAATTTGAATTGTATAATAATCATTTTTAGCTTTATTTATTATTTTATTTAGTTGGTTACGATATATCTTATATTCTCTTTTAGAAGATTGTTGTTTTTGGTTTTTAATATTTGCTTTTTCATTTTATCCCTATTTTTAGTAAACATGATGATGCCTTGACTTATCCGTGGTTTTATTTTTTTATAAGTATTATGCCTATTAGTTATAGTACATTGTTCTTTTAGGGAATATATTATTTCAATAAATTTCTGGTAGGCCAAAATTGGATTGCTAAGAGAAATGACGTTGTCCCAGTTTACATTTTCTAATAATTTTGTAAATCTATCTATATCGGTGTATTGTTTTGTATGTTGGTTTAATGTATTATGGTTAAAGTTTCTTTTGCTTGTTGTAATATTTAAAAAAATTGGAAAATGATCAGTTAGATCAGTGTCAATTACCAACGATTTAAATGAGAAATTTTTATTTGTCATATTATTTTTTACAAAAATATGATCAATACATGATTTCGTTTCTACATTAACCCTGCTGTATGAATTAATATATGATACAAATCCCAAGGAAGATAACATTGCCAAATATCTATTTATTATTTGGTTTGAGGGATCAAGGATATTAATATTAATGTCACCAATAAATATATCCATTCCTAGCCTTCTTGGTATGTTATTTAAGAAATTTTCAAAATCTGTAAGAAATGTATCATCTGATATGGATGGAGATTTATAACAAGGCATTACTGTATAGAGCACACCATTATGACTAAATGTTATTGAGCTTATCATTACATTTGATAGAGGCAACTTTTTATGTTCTATTTCAAACTGAATATTGTTTTTAATATATATAACTACACCATCACATTGATTATTCACACTTTCATTAAATATATTGATAAAACCAGGTATAATTAAATTATCAAGTTCAATAACATTACGTGTTTCTCCTTATATTATTATATTATTATATTAAACAAAAAGTTTCTAAACATACTAAAAAGTTCTAATATTCAAATCAAAATTTTTATTAAGGTTTTTAAATGATTATTGCAACTGATAATATTTAAAAAAATGTCTAAGTGATAACGAGAATTTTTATTTAATTCATTCTCATTTTCTTTATTTTCAATCTCATTAAAAATATTTAGTCTTGCTATATCCAGTATATTTTTATTATTTTTTCATAAATTTGACATTTCCTGTGAAGTACCTATCGAGCACTTTTATTTTTTTTTAAATATAATTTAAATTCATTATACATAAAAATATAATTTATGGATTGAGTGCCTCCAAAAAATCCATCGAAATCAGGGTCAGGTTATTTCAACTACATACCGAGTCCACATAAAAATTTCAGATGACCTTATTTCGGTAAAATTTAAATTGAAATCTTGAATTTTGAAAAATTTCAAAAACTATTTTGAGTTTTAGGTAGTGACGCCAAATAGGTTTAAAATAGGAGAAATTCATTATAAAATAGAAGAAAAAGATAGATTAAAACTAGTCAATCTCAAAAACTGGTTAAATTACGAAGACTAGTTTATTTTGTTAAATTTTGACGAGAAAATGATATCAAGTTTACTGAATTAACCAACCTAAAATTGTTTAAATTGGTAAGTATTTGGTATCAATAGCAAAAAACTAGAGATAGGATTGTTAAAATAATTTGGCCAAGGGAGTTTGAGATATCAGTTCATTTTTGAAAAGGGGCCTTTTGACCAAAGTAGTTTAGACACATTCTAATAAAAATATTTGAAAAAATAAAATATATTTCCTAATCTTTATTCACACAACATTTTCAAGAAATATGGTTCATTAAAAATAAATGAAAAAATAAATAAATTTTGCTAAAAATTTTAAATTAAGAAATATTTTGTAATTTTTCTTTAAATATCCTTATAAATAATATATAAATAATAAGAAAATATAATTATAAAAATGTAATATATTTTTGTTTTTTTGAAAATACAAAAACATTTAATACACAGGGATTTCATTTCAAAAATAACTTTTAAAATATCTTTAAAACAAAAAAAACAAAAAACACGTTAATTTATATTTACGGGGGGGGGGACATTTCACAAGTATCTGTAACCGTGCAGTTTCATCCCCTAAGCGGTGGTGAATATCACTTTAAAATTTTAAATAGAAAGGGGTATCATGTGATAGCTCTTCTTAAAGGTCTCTTTTTTTCCAATCTTTTGATACATTATTTTTTTAAATCGGATTAATTTTTCACCAAGGTATAACCTAGAAACCGGAAAAAATTAAAAATATTGAATTAAAATGTATAAATACCGAGATAGACAAGTTAGCAAAAAGCCTTAAATGTTTTTTGCGTAAGATATTTTTGACCGTAAATTAAAACAATTTATTATTAGTAGATTATTGGTTTCGTTGTGTACTGACAATTTAATTTTGACAATGGTTTATTCTTTACAAGAAAGAATTGATATAATCTTTATTTATGGTGAAGAACAACGCTGTGCACGCAGAACTGCTCGTGTTTTTAATCAGAGACATCTCGATAAAAATGTTGGGCATCAGTATGTGTTGGATTTAGTTCATAAATTTCAAGAAACTGGAAGTGTGTGCAATAAAACTGTAAGGAAATCGTAGAGTTTTAACTGAAGCTGCACAAGTTGAGATTTTAGGTCATTTTGCCATAGAACCTCAAACATCAATACCAAAAGTCTCCAGATTAACAAATATTTCCGTTGGCTCTGTGCATAAAACGTTACGGCTAAATAAATTCTTTCCTTGTAAAATACAGCTTTTACAACAGCTTGCTGAGGATGATTATAACAGAAGATTAGAATTTTGCGAATTAATGACTCAAAGGGCAAATGAAGATCATAATTTTATTAAAAATATTTGTTTTACTGACGAGGCAGGTTTCTTTTTAAATGGATTTGTCAATAAACATAATTGTAGGTACTGGGACAATACAAATCCACATGTTTTTCGGGAAGAGCACAGCCAATATCCTCAGAAAATCAACGTATGGTCCGGAATTCTTGGTAATAAAATTATTGGTCCTATTTTCATGGAGGAAAATTTAACTGGGGAATTGTATTTGAACCTATTAGAAAATCTGATAAATCCTCTTATAACCGAATTTTTAGAAAACCAAATAGATCAAGATGGAAATTTGTTACTAGGCGAAGAAAATCTATTTTTTCAACAGGACGGAGCACCTCCACATTATGCCTTGCCTTAATGAGACATTTATAGATAAATGGATTGGAAGAAGGGGCGCTATAGAATGGCCAGCGAGATCACCCGACCTAACGCCCCTTGACTTTTTTTATGGGGACATCTAAAAACTGTGGTGTACTCAACCTCGCGATATTCCTGAACTTAGACGTAGAATAGTGGAGGAGTGTGAGCGGATTACACCAGAGACGCTTCAAAAAGTGCGGGATGAATTCGAGCTGCGACTTTATCATTGCCTTGCCAACAATGGGGGACATTTTGAACATCTCATTTAAGTACAATGTAATTCTTACGCAAATAAAATATTAATAATGTAAATACAATGTAAATAATAATTATTTCATTTGGAGTGAGGGTAGCCATATGTGAGTAGTAGGGATTAAGTATAAGGGGTTAAGAAAAGGTCCTTTATTTCTCACACGTCAATTTTAATTGGCGACCGGTTTCGAAGCTATTGCTTCATCATCAGGCACACCTAAATGGAATGTCAAGGAGTCAGAAGTAATAAAAACAATTATAAAAGTATGAACGGACATTAACATATACAAAGTAACAGAAAAAACACAAAAGAAAATTAAACAATGACCTTGACTCACCTTGACTATTTCCATAAAGGAAGTGCTACATAAAGTTTAACAAAACGAGTTAAAAAAGTCAGAAAAGTCATGTAATACTTACAATAGTATTTTTTTAAATACATTTTTAGGTTAGGAGACATCTCGCGATTTAACCTAACCTAAAAATATATTTTAAAAAATACTATTGTAGGTATTACATGACTTTTCTGACTTTTTTAACTCGTTTTGTTAAACTTTATGTAGCACTTCCTTTATGGAAATAGTTTTGAAATGAAATCCCCTGTATAAGATATTTCAATACACACTTTACCGGAATGTATTCATATTTTCTCTATTTTTTTACGCTTTGGGTAATAATTAAGAGAGTTAACAAATTTTTATATAAAAGAGTTATTTACCTTGTAAACAGTTTATAAAATCCCATATTATTTCCAAAATAGCTGTAGCTTTATGCTCGCTGAAGTCAAAAAACGAAGATATCACTTCAAATAGATAAAAAACACCCATCGTTAACGATAACTTAACGATCAGTCCAAACCTAAAAAAATCATTTAGTTAAAAAATTATTATACATTAGGTCATTAAGTGTTGGATTTTAATTAACAACCCACCTTTCTCTTCTCGCAAAGAATTTTCGTTTCTTTTTCAAAGTAATCGGAGTTTCCACCATTTGTTTAATTTCTTTTTTTACTTGTAAGATGTATGTTATCGTCTTAAAAAAATATATGGAGTTTACAAATTGAACCACAGTCAAAGGCACTGCTCTAAAAAGAATCTCAGAATAGTTTCCTAGAAAAAAAATATATTTTTTATAAAAAGTTTTGGTAGACGAAACTCGCTTCGATATTTTTTTTTATTACACTACTCAACTTCGAGTTATTGGAATTGGAAAAATTTAAAAGGATTTGGATTAGTCAACTCTTTAAAAAAATCTGTTTAATAATATTAAAAAATTTATATTCGCCAACATCTGATGTTCTTTTTCTTAATGCATTAAGAGGTTTAATGGCGTCTTTAACAGTGTTATCTATCCTATCCCCAACAGCGATTCATTACGCTTCCATGACTTAAGAGCTTTTTACCAAACCAAGATTAGATTAAACTCTTTAAAATCAAAAATGAAACTGTCAGCTGTCAACACCAGTTTTTTAAAGAGAACAGCAAATACTCTGAAGACGAAGAGAAAATTTAAAACGATTATTACACAAGTTGTAGTTTTTCCGACTTAAGAGAAATTAATGCAGGTAGCTCGCGAAGGAAATTCTGGTAGCTCTCACAACGATTTTAATTTAAAAAATACAAACTGCAAAAGTCAGAGGAGCTTCCGAAAATTCCACAAAAAAATCTATTGGTCATAATATTAAACATAAACAGCGGCAACGTTGCGGTGAGTAATCTGCCGCTGACGCCATCAAGCTAGAATCGGCTAGAACCGACCAGCCGGACCAGCGCGTTAGTGTTCGAGAACGATCAGGATTGCTTTGAACGGGATAAATACGCACGGCGCTTCGGCATTGCGCTTAGTTTAAAGCTGAACGCGTAACCAACGTCCAGCGGTTGGGTTAGTAGAGAACAATAAAAAATAATATTATGGCAAGCAGTTGTAAGAAGGTAAAGACATACCACTTTCATTCGGAATGGGAAGAACAATACTTTTATACAGAAGTTAAAGATAAAAATGTGTGTTTGTTATGTAAAACTTCGGTCTCCGTTGCTAAAAAAGGAAATATTGAGAGACATCATAAAACTGTATATTCTAATTTTGAAAAATCATTCCCACTACATACTGCCGCCAGAAAGGAGAAACTGAAACAGTTAAAAAAGCAATTAATTGGACAACAATTAATATTTTTAAGAACAGTCGACAAAAATAAGGCTGCAACTGAAGCGTCGTACCGTGTGTCCCAGACTTAGATAACTGTGTTTATTTTTCACTTCAACTGGATGAATCAACAGATGTCATTGACACTGCCCAGATGGTCGTGTTCGTCAGGATGGTTTTTAGTGATTTTACGATTAAAGAAGATCTTTTGAAGTTTATTCCACTGAAAGGACACACTACTGGACAGGAGTTGTTTTTTCATTTAAAAAATATTATTTCTTCCGAGAAAATTCCAATATCGAAAATGGTAGGCTTGACAACCGATGGCGCTCCAGCTATGGTGGGTTGTGATAAGGGTCTGGTGGCGTTATGTCGTAAAGATGAAACTTTTCCGCAATTTCTCTGTTATCACTGCATTATCCATCAGCAAGCATTATGTGGAAATTTCCTGAAACTAAACAACGTTATGAAACTGGTGGTAAAAATTGTGAACAAGATTAGAGCTCAAGCGTTCCAAAGAAGATTATTCAAAACCTTAGCCGATGAAGTTGACTGTCAATACGGGGACCTACTCCTTCACTCTGAAGTCCGATGGTTAAGTAGAGGACGGGTGCTGAAACGTTTTAATGATGTCCTATCTGGCATAGTTCAATTCTTCAAAACAACGCGATGAACCGACTCCGGAACTAGAAAATTTAATCTGGCTTAGAGATTTTGGTTTTCTCGTGGACATTACAGAGAAATTAAACGAACTTAATTTGCAGCTTCAGGGGAGAGACAAAGAACTAGCGGAAATGATTTCTGATATAAAAGCATTTATCAAAAAGCTGGCGTTTTGGGAACAAAATCTAATTAACAGCGATGCCAAGCATTTTCCTATTCTTTCAGAAAAAATATTTCAAAATCCATTAGAACCCTATGACAGCAAATATCATGTAGAAATAGTTTCTACCCTGAAGAATAACTTCAAAATTCGTTTTAAGGATTTCAACGAAATGGCTTTAGTAGCGCAGTTTGTTGTTTCACCCTTTATGGAAATTGATATCCAACAGTTTGCAACTTGTGTTATGCAGAACTTTGGCGAAGACATCGCTGCAACAGAAATGGAAGTAATTGAGTTTCAAAATGACTTAGCCTTAAAATCGTTAGTCTCAAGTACCAAATATATCTGGCCTATTGTAAGTAAAGACAAATATTCAGTTCTATGCCGTGTTGCCTTGAAAGTGAAAGTATTATTCAGTTCAACCTATTTGTGTGAATCTTCTTTTTCCAATATGAAGTTTATTAAGAACAAATATCGCAATCGACTTAAAGATGAACATTTGGATAATTGTATTCGAATGGCTGTATCAAATTATACTGCAAACATTAAAAAAATTATCGATGAGTCTGAGTGTCAGCCTTCTCATTGAACGTACTTTTTTATTTTTCAATGTTTATGTTCATGATAGTGCGTTACTTTTTTATTGTTATTATTAACTATTTTTAAATCTTACGTGACATGCCGTTGTGGCTGGATAAAAGTTTGTGTTTATTTTTCAAACACCTTCGTTTGGTAGGTAGGAATGTAGCTATGAACAAGTACGTACTAGTAATATTAGTTATTTTGTTATTAGTTTATTATTAGTACCTATGTATTATGTATTGCCAGTTAAATAGTAAAATAAATACATATAATGATAAATTAACTGTGGATTATTTCATTTACGTTGCGTTACGTGGCTTCCGTGTGGGTAGCTCGCTGTTTATTCCAAAATTAACAAAGTAGCTCAACACATTAAGAGGTTGGCGACCACTGTATTAGATTATCATCTTGACGAAAAGATAGCGAATACAATTAAATGAAAGCAAATATGTCCATAACAACTTCAGCAATAAACAAACTGACTATATTCCTATTAAAATAAACGACATTAATAAGATTCTTTTTGCCAATACAGCAAAATATCTGGGCATGAAATTTGATCCTAAACTTCGCTGAAAAGTCCATATTAAAAGAAACATGAAGAGCTTGGTATAAAATACAAAAGAATGTATTGGTTGCAAAATTATCTACATACAATAAACTGCTACTTTACAGGCAGATATAATATCCAGCTTGTCAGTAAAAGTAACATCCAAATTATTCAACGTTTCCAGAATAAAGTATCAAGGAACATCGTCAATGCATCCTGGTACTGCCGCAATACTGATCTTCATAGCAACCTTGAAAATACAATAGAAACATTTACAAGTAGTCACCAACAATAACTGCTCCAACATGGTAACGTTGAGGTTATTCAGCTCTTCAACAATACCAATCTAATAAAAAGACTCAAGAGAACCAAGCGTTTGAGTTAGTTCAGTGATGTTACATAAAAGCAGAGTTAGTATTATAGATTAACGGTAGTGTAATTAAATAATTAGATTTACTAGTGAGCAGAATCTTAGTTTACGAAATTTTTCATCCCCAATTTAGTTAAGTTACATAAAAAATGTTAATTGATCTTAATGATCAGATTATAATAGATAATATTTAAAAAAAAACAGATATGTTAATGACAGTACGACTTTACCATTCCGTATTGAATTAAACCATTGACTTGAAAGCGTTAGCGGTTAGTCTATTAATGTCATTGAAAGAAAATCTAATTAGCCGTTATATTTCTACCTTTTATCTAATTATAAGTTTAATTTTGGATAATCAATTTTAAATTATTCTGTATCTGTTGAAGATTTTAAGAATAATTATTTATATCTCTTGTAAGGGCCTCGTAAAAAATAGAATTTATTTTTGTTTAGCGAGTGAATATTTGGCAGTCAAAGGATTGGATTATGTAAGGATTTTCCTCACTCTATTATTGATAAGAGGTTGGCTCACATGTCATTTATTTTTTTTTATTGAATTAAGGTAATTAAATGGTTTGATATAAAATATCTAACAGCTAGTTTAAATTACATATAATTGATTCACAAAGGTAATTAACTTCATCATATTGTACCCAAAAAAACTAACCTTTTTCCATGCCACATTTCGTTTTTCCCAAACGAATACGAATTGTGTGTGGTAGAGAATCTGTCAGGTGGAATATCGTCATTAATATCGTATATAAAAGGGGAACTCCCCATCCATATAAACTATAGAAGAAAAACTTTTTTAAATCTCTTCTCTGTTTTTCATTTTTGTCCAAATATCGGCATGTCTTTCTACAAAAAGTAAATAATAATAAACTAAGAAAAAGAGAATATTAACAAAAGCATTGAAAGATTTAACAAATAATAAAATCAAAATATTAAAAGATATTCTAAAGTCAGAGCGTATCTTCTTCTTTAAATGCCAAATTGGATTTAATCCAGAGACGTTCCTAGTTATCAATGACTCTACTTTAAAAAATTTATTTCAAGTGCGTTAAGAAACATGAAAGTTTTGATTAAACAAATAGTTGCAATAGATAAAAAAAATGCAAGGGATAATTACTAAAGAAAATCGTTTATATTTACGGAATTTTTCAATAATAAATAAACTTATTACCCAAAAGTAGAATTAATATCGTAACACATTATTTGGAGCCACATGAAGCTGCTGAAACCAAGACATATAATCGTAAAACCTAAAAAATATCTTTCGTTAGAATTTCATACAACATCCATGCAACTAAAAGAAAAATTCACATCTGTATGGTGAAGAAGATATGTGTTAAAGACCATTCAAATATGCCGCCAAGAATAAAATGTTGACAGTCCTCCAGTAACTGAAGTAAGCATAGTATCAATAACGCTTTTACTTTTTTCTAGTATATAGCATGTTCTTATTTTTTTTGTTTTGTTTTAAAAACTTACAAAACTATACAAAAATGCCGACTGACTTTGTTCGTCCGGCTCGAAGGACCATTATGATACGGACAAACCGTATTAAAGACCCTAAGGACTGCATAAATAATTTATTAACAACGTGCTATGTAAAAGAAAAGGGTAAAAGCAGTATTATTACTAGAAAGACTTCTGCAAGACTCCTCAACTTAGCGTCACGTATTGCACACGTCAGTTGCTGCTGGACTAAATTATAATAAATAATTTTGGTCAGGTTTTTGGTACAAATATTCCTCTGTGCGACGTTGAATAAAAAGACAACATTGTTAATGTAGTTCATTACTAAGGATTGACGAAAAAAGATCAGAAGATACTGCAAAGATCTCAACGTTGCTACAACAGTTGAATAAATGGACAACGTATAGATTATGTATAGTCTTCATCAAATATTTATTTAATTTTAATTTAATATCATTACTATAATAAATTAAAGTCAATCATTTGATAAATATACTAGCAAAAGATTGTATCGGTTCAATTTAATTCAAAACAAACATTGTACTATATACAGGGTGTCTGTAAAAGGTCTTTACAAAAACATACCACATATTCCTTAGAACAAAATAAGTCGATTTAAGTAAAATTACCTTAGTACAAAGTTGCTTCGTTTGGGATCCAGAGGGCCTTGAAGTTACAATTTTTAAATCGTTTTTCCCATATAAATTTAAAACGGCATATGCGATTTTGCTGAAATTTGGTATATTGGTAGAGTTTTATGTGGCAAAAAAAATGATTTTAAAATTTTGTCCGATAATAATACATAGGCGTAGAACTTGATTTTTTAAATAATTGCACCTTTAAAAATTCTAAGCCAATGGAAAAAAAGGAGTTTGAGTATGAAATTTAGATTGCGCAACTCATTTACTTTAAAAACGATACTCTTGATAAGACTCGATTACTTTCATGGTTTTGACGAAATTTGCATTTTAGTAATTTTAGAACATAAACAATAATTATTAAAATACAAACTTTGTGAAAACCATGAGAGTAAATCGAGTGTTATCAAGGGTACTTTTTTGTAGTAAATAAGTACCCAATCCAAATTTCATACTCAACCTTCTTTTCTGCCATTGGCGTAGAATTTTTAAAGGTGCAATTATTTAAAAAATCAAGTTCTACGCCTATGTATTATTATCGGACAAAATTTTATACGATGAAAAACATAAAAATGTACTTTTTTCATATCTTCTTCAACACCTCTAATCGAGACTTTTAACAAAAATACTCGATTCTTGCCATGTACGATTTTTTGAGGAATATTAATTATTTGCCTGCAATACGTATACAAAAACATTTATTGTTGGTTTCCATAGTTTCATCTAAATAAAAATATTGTCAAGTTTTAACACCTAATCTCTTGTTAACGATTGTGTTCTATCTGACTCAATAATTAAAAAAACAAATGCGTGGTTTATTAATATGGCTGTACAATATACCAATGCAGAATATACCGATATGTTACTGACATTAGGATTTTGTGAAGGAAATGCTCGAGAGAGTGTCAGGGTGTACTCTGAAAGGTTTCCAAATCGTCGTGTACCTAGACACCCAACTTTTGCTGCTGTTGAGAGACGTCTTCGGGAGACCGGTTCCTTTGCTCCCAACACTGTTGATAATGGAAGAGAACGTTTTGTAAGGATTCCTGAAGTTGAAGAAGACATTTTAGAACGTGTTGAAGAAGATCCAGAATTAAGCACCAGACGAATTGGAAGGGAACTAGGAGTAAGTAAAGATGTCGTTCATAAAGTGCTTGGAGAACAATTGCTATATCCATACCATAAGAAGCCAGTACAAGAATTAGTAGTCCATGATCCTCAAATTCGTTTGGGTTTTTGTCGATTTGTTAATATGCAAAGAGAAAGAGATCCAAACTTTGTCAAGAAGGTTCTCTTTACCGACGAAGCGGGTTTTACAAGAGGAGGTATAACTATTACCCATAATGAACATATTTATGCCGTTGAAAATCCGCATGTAATAAAGGTAAACCATTTTCAGCACGAATTCAAAATTAATGTGTGGGCTGGAATAATTGGTAATTTCATTGTTGGTTCTGTCATACTTCCACGAAGATTAACTAGAGAAAATTATTTGGATTTTCTACAATATACGTTGCCAGAATTGTTAGAAGATTTACCTCTCCAACTTCGGAGAGAGAGAGCTCCACCACATTTTTCTTTAAACGTTAGAAACCACTTGAATGAACAACATCCACACAAATGGATAGGCAGAGGTAATGACGCACCTGTTAACTGGCCACCACGTTCCCCAGACCTAACACCGATGGATTACTTTTTATGGGGACATCTGAAATCCACAGTTTACAGGAAACCTGTAGAAAATGAGGAACAACTCTGGCAACGTATTCAAGATGCAATAAACAATCTTAGAGGTGATGAAGAAGTTATGGAAAGGATACATTTTAATTTTCTTCGACGTATAAATCTTTGTATGCGTGAAAATGGTGAACATTTTGAACAATTTTTGTAAAATCTCTATTTTGATTATGTTGTAAATAAATATTTTTGTGAAACATATACACTCTAAATTATTAAAACAGAAATTTAGCGAAAACCATGAGAGTAATCGAGTCTTATCAAGAGTACCTTTTTTTAAAGTAAATGAGTTGTGCAATCTAAATTTCATACTCAAACTCCTTTTCTTCCATTGGCGTAGAATTTTTAAAGGTGCAATTATTTAAAAAATCAAGTTCTACTCCTATGTATTATTATCGGACAAAATTTTAATACCATTTTTTTTGCCACATAAAACTCTACCAATATACCAAATTTCAGCAAAATCGTATATGCCGTTTTAAATTTATATGGGAAAAACGATTTAAAAATTGTAACTTCAAGGCCCTCTGGAGCCCAAACGAAGCAACTTTGTACTAAGGTAATTTTACTTAAATCGACTTATTTTGGTCTAAGGAATATATGATATATTTTTGTAAAGACCTTTTACAGACACCCTGTATATTTCATGCAATATAAAAACCTTAGACTAGATAACTAGTCTAAGCTAGCTACAATTGTCTAAACTTTCAAAGATTTCCCAATTATTTTCAAAATTTGGCAACGGTGTGGAGCTGTGACGGTCCAAAAAGTATAACGTCATCGATGACGTGCAATGGTTTTTATATTGTATATATTTAAGATGGTCCTATTTAACAACACCGCGATCCTTCTGAAGATGTGTTGAAGATTAAGACATCAATTACTCAAATTACTTCGCGATTCATTGTTGAGATGTTAAATTTTCGTTTAACAAAGTCATTACAAATTTAAATGAACAAATACTTACCTAAAGTCTTACACAGCCCCTTGGTTTTGCTCAAATGCAAATTGGTGTGGAATGTATGATAAACTAATAGAATATACAGCGCCAAAAGAGAACAACAAAAGCACACCAACGCTTTCCCAAATATTTTTTTCGTTTCACCAGAAATTATATAAAAAAATATAGTAAAAATCAAGAAACCGCTGGAAATGATCATCGCGGTTCGATTCCAAAGGAATTTCGTTTCTAACGGGGGACTCTCATTAATGAAAAATCCAAAATAGGCGTGTTTGTTAATAATTCCTTCTTTCGATGCATGTTCGATGCAGTAAGGTTGTGAAGGATGAGGGTGGATTTCATTTGTTTTCGTATTGTGAAACATCCCAATTTCGTCAAGAAAGAACGATGATATATGCGGTTCCATGTAAACTTTTCCTTGGCCTGGATTTCCATGTACTACGGCGAAATCACCTACAAATAAAAAAAACTGTTTATGACAATGTTTTACTGATTTCCATGTATTGACAACCAGATACTCGCGGTGTTATAGTGGAGCAACGAAATCACTGATCGCATCTTAAATAGGCGACAAGTATTTTATATCGGACTAGCCTTTAAGTGCCACCACACCTGAACACTATGGGTTCTTTAAAGACCTTTAAAAGCCATTTAAAAAGCTTTTAAAAACGCATAAAAACTTTCAAAACAGCCTTTAAAAAAGATTTATACAAACCTTCAAAACACTAAAATAATTCAAACACAAACCCTTTAAAAATAAAAAACTTTAAACAAAAAAACCTCTTTTGCTGCTTCTAATTTCTATCATCTACCTCTTCAAGAGGAGTTGGTATCTCTCTTCCTTATTAATATTGAATTTTCTGGGTATTCTCATGTTTCATGTTCTCCACTAGATTTGGCACAACAATTTGGTGCTTTTACAATGTTTTGCAACATGTCCAAAGTAGCAACATTTAAAACACATTGCAATTTTGTAAAACTGGTGGTAAAAATTGTGAACAAGATTAGAGCTCAAGCGTTACAAAGAAGATTATTCAAAACCTTGGCCGATGAAGTTGACTGTCAATACGGGGACCTACTCCTTCACTCTGAAGTCCGATGGTTAAGTAGAGGACGGGTGCTGAAACGTTTTAATGATGTCATATCTGGCAAAGTTCAATTTTTCAAACAACGCGATGAACCGACTCCGGAACTAGAAACTTCAATCTGGCTTAGAGATTTTGGTTTTCTCGTGGACATTACAGAGAAATTAAACGAACTTAAATTGCAGCTTCAGGGGAGAGACAAAGAACTAGCGGAAATGATTTTTGATATAAAAGCATTTATCAAAAAGCTGGAGTTTTGGGAACAAAATCTAATTAACAGCGATGCCAAGCATTTTCCTATTCTTTCAGAAAAAATATCTCAAAATCTATTAGAACCCTATGACCGCAAATATCATGTAGAAATAGTTTCTACCCTGAGAATAACTTCAAAAATCGTTTTAAGGATTTCAACGAAATGGCTTTAGTAGCGCAGTTTGTTGTTTCACCCTTTATGGAAATTGCTATCCAACAGTTTGCAACTTGTGCTATGCAGAACTTTGGCGAAGACATCGCTGCAACAGAAATGGAAGTAATTGAGTTTCAAAATAATTTAGCCTTAAAATCGTTAGTTTCAAGTACCAAATGTATCTGGCCTATTGTAAGTAAAGACAAATATTCAGTTCTATGACGTGTTGCCTTGAAAGTGAAAGCATTATTCAGTTCAACCTATTTGTGTGAATCTTCTTTTTCCAATATGAAGTTTATTAAGAACAAATATTTGGATAATTGTATTCGAATGGCTGTATCAAATTATACTGCAAACATTAAAAAAATTATCGATGAGTCTCAGTGTTAGCCTTCTCATTGAACGTGCTTTTTTATTTTTCAATGTTTATGTTCATGATAGTGCGTTACTTTTTTGTTGTTATTATTATCTATTTTTACGTGACATGCCGTTGTGGCTGGATAAAAGTTTGTGTTTATTTTTCAAACACCTTCGCTTGGTAGGTAGGAATGTAGCTATGAACAAGTACGTACTAGTAATATTAGTTATTTTGTTATTAGTTTATTATTAGTACCTATGTATTATGTTTTACCAGTTAAATAGTAAAATAAATACATATAATGATAAATTAACTGTGGATTATTTTATTTTCGTTGCGTTACGTGGCTTCCGTGTGGGTAGCTCGCTGTTTATTCCAAAATTAACAAAGTAGCTCAACACATTGAGAGGTTGACGACCACTGGTCTAAACCTAGAAGAATAGCCAAAATTCTTTCTCAAAAGCCTATAGACAAACCGTAGACACGTGTTTCTGACTATTGGTCTTCATCAGTACGGTGCAGCCAAGTTCAAAAGACAATGGAACTAGCAATGAAATCAAAACAACAAGAGATCACTGTTTTGATTGCTTTTTTATTTTTTGCGGTATCTGCCCAATAGTCTCCCACAGAAAAAATAATTCCGATAGACTGCCACTACACTATAACTAAAAAATTGACAGATAAATGTAAGCTATAAGAAGTTTAGGATATCTTCAAAGATTGGATAGGTATTTTAATTTAGTTAAAACAAAAGCGTAATAGGCGTCAACAACTTCAAATGATTTAGACTAATATATTTGTATAATTCCCTGTATATTTCCAATGGCCATCAGTTGTCTTTTCGACCCAGCCAGTAATTAATCAAGAATGGCGAAATTAGTCGTCCATTTACAAATTACTTCGGAGAGTATTTTTTCATGGTCTCGGCCACAATTTGCCCTAAACCTTCTGCGTGTTTAAAAAACTTTAAGCAGTAATTACTGAAATTTGTTATACTGGTAATAATTGCTTCTAGCCATGACTGTCACTACTCTATCGATTTATCTTTTCATTCCACGCAATTTTCAGAAAAATCTCAGTCATAAAATATCATTGATTAATCGTGGACCTGGAAAGGTAGAAGATTTATTAAAAAAATTATAATTTTAAATGAGGAATAATAAAACAGCTTAGCTGGAGAAGTTTTTTTGATCGCGCTTAAATCAAAGACTTAATTTTAATTGTTCCCAGCGGATAGAAGGACAAAAAAATTTACTGTTCTTTATTTCAGGAGCCTAAAAAAGTAAGTCTTCGTACGAGGTATTTTAAAAGAGTTCTGCTGAATTTGTAGTTGGTAAAAATAACAAAAAAATAGATGTAGAGTTTACAAGAATATTAGAAAAAATAGTACTCAGTAAAATGGTAGAATAGCCATGGGCGCTGCCACACGAGGGCAAGGGGGACGTCCATGGGCGTCGTTACACAATTCTATAGGGGGGGGGGGGGGAAATTTTAAAAAAATTTTGTATGTTTATTTATTAAAAAACAAAGAAAATGAAACATAAAAGAGAATTTTCTTATGATGGATTTAATTATTCTGTGACGTCATGGCTTACTTCCGGTTTTTCCAGAAATAACAGAAAATCTCAATTTATTTTTTATTTTTAAATGAAAACCCATTTTCTTATTGAAAATTTGAATTTCTGGTACATTTTTGTATAAGAAGCGTGTAATGAAAATTTTTTCAGTAACATATTAAAAAAAATATGTTCCAATATGATGATCATTTTGACAGCTGACAAAAAATTTTCAACACATGATTCTTATCCATAAATGTCCCTAAAATTCAAATGTTCAATAAAAACGGGGGTTTCTATTTAAAAATTAAAAATAAATTGAGATTTTGTTATTTCTGATGAACCAGAAGTAAGCCATGAAGTCACACACCAATTGAATCCAGTATATGAGAGTATTTGTCCCAAGCTTTTAAACAAATAAGTTTTCATTGCAGTATCTCAATTAACAACGAAGATACAAGCGGATAGAATTATTAAACGGTTTGCTAATAATAAAAATGCTTAGATACGCCACTGGTATACGGTTAATGGGTCTTAATGGGAATTTTAAAGCCTAAAAAGATTTTATGAAGTTCGTATATTCCTATATGTTTTTCCATAAACAAATTAATAGTAACATATTTAAAAAAAATATTATCCAATATGGCGGCCATTTTGACAGCTGACAGAAAATTGTCAATACACGATTATTACACAAAAATGTCCCAGAAATTTAAATTTGCCATAAAAAAGAGGGTTTCCTTTTAAAAATAAAAAAAATCTGTTATTTTCGAAAAATCGGAAGTAAGCCATGACGTCACAGAACAATTGAATCCATCATAAGAAAGTCTTTCAAACAGAACAAAATTAATCCGATATCTCACTGAATAGCGAAGCTAAGGGGGAGTGGAACTGTAGTAGTAACCCTAACAATGTCACTGACCTATTTGACAGAACTGATACTTAAGTTGTCATAACAAGTCTCTAATAAATAAAATAATCCAACAAAAAAAGACAAAACAAAAGTGTATGGATTTATAAAACAAGTGAAAAAATTATTAATATTATTATTATTATATATTTTTATTACTTGAGCTAAAAAAAGTAGTATAATCAATAAAAATCAATAATAAAACATAGGTAGGTAATTACGAGAAAATGTATGAGATCTTGCCTAAGCCTAATAAGTTGTCATTGAAGAATAGGTTAAATAATGTCAAAATAAAAACACTACTATTATATAATAACGTAGAATTAAAACGTATTAACAAAAATAATTGGTATATTTGCGATTGTAATTTATATTTTCTTCATTTTTAGCTCGAAAGAACCCATAGAAATTAATGATTACAACTGGTTTCCTATCAATAAGTCATAAGATTGTATTTCAGCCATATACAATAATTAAAGGCAGAAATCTGATCATTTGCTAAACATTTAAGACTTAAGGGATGTTGAAGAATATCATAATATAATAATTTATTGTTTATTTAAAACCTTTTCTGATGTCTATTATTTCCAGTATTACTGTTATTATTACAAAAATAAAGGTTTTTTCTTCTTCTTATTATACAGCTGTCTATTTATTTTTTTGATTTAATTTCGATTTTGCTACTGAATAATTTTTTATGTCTGAATAAAATTCACAATGTTTGGATGCTACATCATTAATGAAAAGCTCATTGTGTGTAGAAAGCTCTTTCGTACTCCAGTTATTGGTATTCAGCTTCAAAATTGTCGATTCCAAATTTTTCCACTACTTTTATTTTCTAATCGGTAGTGAAAAAAGTATTGTTTTATGCTTTTGGGATGTAACAGGCTTAAGGAAAATTAACAGAGTCTTCGGAAAAGTGTGATATAAGCGACGTAATAAGGGAATCCAGATATCGTCGGCCTAAGATGCAAATGGCCTAACTCCACTTTTTACCAAAGGTACGTTTTATTGGCTACCCGTTAGTTAAAGATCTGTATTGTCGATTCGAAATATTTTAAATATTCGCTCCAAAAATTACATGACTCATTTTATATAACCCCTTTACATTAAGATTAGGTCTAAAAGATTTTTTGCG